TTCTCGATCCGGATCGCCGATTCACCGATCCGGATCGGTTTTTTGGAAGCCCGATCCGGGTCACCGATCCGTTTTTTAAACCATTGCATTATATAGATGTCTAATTTGTTCACACATTAAGTCAAGAGAAAATATTTTCATATTTTATTTTAAGTTTCATTTCACAATAGATCCAACATTTTATAAGATATATTAGGATATAGAAATTATAGATTTTATTTCTTCTAACCCCATGAGCTACTTTAACCTTGTTCTTTTTAGGCCAAATAAATCTAAAAAAACATACCTTTTCTAGAAGCAATCGTCCCAAACTTCTTTCTCTCTCCACGTACCTTTTCTCTCTCTCTCCATATTTACCATCTCTAACCTCAAATTCTCTCTCCTTCTGCTCTCTCTACCCTTCCTCACCGTTTTTCTCTCTTTCTCTCTTTACCCTACCGCACTTTTTTTCTCTCTTTCTCTCTCTACCTTCCCGCACCATTTTTCTCAATCTTTCTCCTTCTACCCTCTCTCAATGAGATCCGTAATGTCGAACTTTGGGCCTTGTATAGCTTAAAGAGAGAACTCAGTAGGATCATTCAGAATTGAAATTGATTTTTGCTTTAGGATGCTCTTTGGCCAATGCTTCCCCTTGAGGTCCATCTCTCTAATGCTCTCCTCTGATGAGAGAGACTTTGGATCTGCTTATGCCATTGAAAGCAAAGCAGTGAAAACAGAGCAGCAATGAAAGTGGCAATTCTTATGGTTTTCGAATTTTCAATAATCCGCGCTGATAATGGGTTCTAATACGCTGGAACTCACCGGAGAATTATTTTGCTGAGTTTTTGGCCTATTGAGCCTAAACACTATCTTAGTTTTGGGTTTTCAAGGGAGGTGGAATCTAAGTTTTTTATTTGGGTTTGGGTTTTCTAGGAGAGAGTATTGGAAAAGGAGAGATGGAATTCTAGTTTTGATATTTGTTTAGAGAGAGTATTGGAAATATGGGATTTATTTAGAGAGATAGAGTGGTGGAATTTTTGTTTTTGATATGGGCAGAGGGGGGAGCGATAGAATTCTTGTTTTGGATTTAGAGAGAGAGAGATGGGGGAGTGGACCTCGGACTACCCACTTTTCCCTGTAGGTTTTCATGCATTAAATGGAATAGCCATGAAAAGCAAAGAAACAGAGCTTGAGATGTTGTATTTTAGAGAGAAAAAATACCGAAAATGTTGAGAAATATAGATCAAAGAGTAAGGTGATGCTCATTTATGAGAGAGAGTTGAGAGGTTATGGGGAAGAAAGAGAAGTGAGAGGTTGTAAGAGGAGAGAAAGAGGTGTGTGGATTAAGACGAGAGGAGAGAGAGTTAAAGAAGTTGTAAGAGAGAAAAAGAGAGAAGTTTTGAATATATAAATGAAGAGAGAAAAGGGGTTGGGTTTAAAAAGAGTGTCTTTTTGACATTTGTTTAGTTTAAAAATTAGGTTTAAAGTGGAAGATATTTTTTAAAAAATTGGATTTATTAAGAAATGCAATTTAAAAATAAGAGATATACTGATGTTTTCCTTAATTCAATAAATATGTGTTATCATTTCTAGCACTCTTGAATCTTCAAGAATCAAAACATTTATACAACCAGGAGTGAAATTTAACACAGCCAGAAGGGGCCAGGGTTTGTAATCAGCATCGCGTCCGACTTGGGAGTAAGGCTTTCTGATCCTCCTCATCAAGGGAATGTATGCTTTGCGAATACAAAATCCCAGTATTTGGTGCAAGCTAATTGTATTTACTTGCCAAAGGGACACAATCAGAATGCCTAAACTGTTTAGCGGCATTGATGGCATACAATAGGTATCATAAAGCATATCTAAAATTTTTCAGACCAAAATAGGTCATAAGAGTTTAATCAGACCCTACTGATTGCATTGTATTTCACGAGCTACTGTAAAAACATATATTATATGTTTAAAACCAGATGCCAAGTTATGCCCTTTCGAGGGTGAGGGTCCAATTTTGCTTCATTGAGGCATTATAGCATGCTTGTAAGGCCTGGTTGCACATAGTTACTGTGTGGATTCAGATACCATTAAAGTCGGACACTGATAATGTGCAGCCGCACCTGCACAATAAACCGTGAACTGTGTAGATCCAGGTAGCACCCACGTCGGACACTGATAATGTGCAGCTGCTGCTGCACAATAAACCGTGTTGCTTTAGTAGGGGATACCAGTGACCTCATACATGAGGCACCACACATGTGGTCTCACACGAATAACTAATGTTTAGTTCCACCCATGTGATACCACACATGGGGTCTCACATGTGTAATCCAAACGTGGCTGGATTTTTTTTATTTTTTTTAAGGCGCCGGACTCCTACTCTATGTTGCCCCATGCGACTAACTCCTTGGTGGCGCTCGATCACAAGAAAACGTGGTTGCACATGCTAGACCACCATGATCAACCACATGGTCCAGAGGGTGTAGGTACCCACCGAGTATGCTACTGCCTCTCTTTTGTGATCCCTTGGGCACCTAAATGACCAAAGCGAGGGACCATCTAGGACGGGTTTACGCTCGTCTAATACCTGTTTTGCGCTTGTTTTGCACTTCCTGATTGCACATGTACCACCAGACTCCCTAAGGACTATACAATGCTATTAAGGCCCAATTTGTAGAAAATACCAAGAAATAGAAAAATAGGCTAAATACTTGCCAAACACTTGGGGTGGCCAACCTCCATCTGATACCAATGTTCATTCATCAGGTGAATTTTAACAAAGTTAAAATACAAATTAAAAATCAAATAGAGATGACTCACCTTTTTAGAATTTGACTGTCCTCTTGTAGTTGGCGCTGATCTTTTTCTTCCTTTTCGGGCATGGTTCCTCTAGGTCAAGAATTCGATGCCCACAACCTCAAGCTAATTCCAATTTTTAATTACAAGAACTAAAGTTATAATGTACCTAATGCAAATCCGGAGCCTTTAATGGAAAGCTTGAGTGTTCTTGAATCACAAATATGGGTTTTCATTAACTGGGTCTCTAGAGATTAAAAACTATCAGAGAAGAGAATTAAGGTATGGAGCAGGGGTGGCAATGGGTGGGTGGCCCGGCCTGGAATGGTTGGCTCGACCCTAAAAAAGTTAGGGCCTGGACTACAAAATGTGGCCTGAGGGCTGGATCTTCAAGGCTTGAGGGGTAGGCCAAGACAAGGCCAGCCCGGTTTGAACTGGCGCAGTCCAACCCTTCTGTACTTTATATTTTTTTTTATTTTTTTATCTTTTATTTTTCCCATTTGACCTGACCTAGGCTTGGGCCTCTTTCGTCCTGTCAAGGTCGAGAAGGGCCTAGGCCGGCCTTATGAGGATAGGGTCGGGCCAAGGCTAGGGCCAGGCCAGGCATGCCCCGGCCGTTGCCAGCCCTATAGAGAGAAATTGCTTGGTTTTTAAGAGGCACGTGGGACCTAATTTTTCTTCTATGAGAGAAAGTCCTCGTGCCTTTTAAGGTAAAATTAGGTCTCACGTTAATTATAAAAAGATGTAATTACCATTAATTATGAAAAGACCTAATTTTTTTTAATTTACCTAAATTTTCTTCTACAGGTAATTCTATCTTAATTGTGAGTTTTTTTTTTTTCTATTTTGAATAATATTTCCCCCAGCTATATTTATCTCCAATTGGAAATCCATATTACATAGGATACTCTTTTATTTTTCTCTACTTTGAACAAATCCAACGATACTATATAGAGATGTCCTAATTACTAAGAACATGAAAAAAATCTACAGAGATCTTTACATCCACTAGTAGCAGACTCGAAATCCAACAACTCTACCTCAAATTTGACACATATATTCTCGTAATTAAATAAAATTAAGAGAGCGCTAGACATTTGAGCATTGAAACTTAAACTGCCTTCAAAACAATCATTAGGCGAGGAGAGAAGAGAGCCTTTTTTTATTCATTATTGAGTTGGCGTTGATCTTTTAAAGTCAAAATGGGATCCTGCATCGATGTGACTAATTCTTGATTGTCCTCATTTAAATTGGCAAACACCCGATTTAGATATACATAATGAAAAAATTGATTGTATATTATAAGATATTTACTTTTGATACATGGATGTTACAATTATCTATAGCCATAAGATTTGAAATATAATAATTTGAGAAATTATCTATAGCCATAAGATTTGAAATATAATAATTTGGGATGTCAAATAGTTCAAATATTTTTTTTGGAACTTTAAACCAAGCCAATTGGACCCTCTTCGAAGTTGAAATTAGATCACCCCACTCATCACATCACGGGGATCCATCAATATTTTAAGGGAAAAGTACACAATAAGACTAATTACCTTTGGTATAAAGTAGTGACAATTAATCTTGACCATTAGATATGAAATTAGATGGCTACATTTATTGCATTCAAAAGACATTTTCCCATCTTTGCGACACACTTAAGCAATCAGATTTCACATGAAATGGTTATGTATAATTGTAACCTTTTTGTCTCAAAGGTAAGTGGTCTCATTGTATACAATCCGTGTCTCAAAGGTTAGTGGTCTCATTGTATACAATTCGGAGAGTTACAGTGAATGAGTTGAAAGAATGGTTGGTTAACTCTTAGTTTCTGTCTCTGACAAAAACAAAGCAGGGCGTGGGAAACTTTCCTGATAGTGTTGGTGGTGTACTCGGCTTGGGTATCTCCTTTCGAGCTGGGGTTCATGACGAAGGCCGAGGGTGGCCTCCTGGTGGCCGACAACGTCGTCAATGGCTTCTTCGCAATCGACATCCTTCTCACCTTCTTTGTTGCCTTCTTGGATCGGCGCACCTATCTCTTAGTTGATGAGCCAAAGATGATTGCCTTCCGCTATATCTCCACCTGGTTCGCTTTCGACGTTGCCTCTACCATTCCCTTTGAGTTGTTCGCGTCGAGGCTCTTCCGAATCTCGCCTCTTGCCTCCGGCATCCTCAACATGCTACGACTTTGGCGTCTCAGGAGAGTCAGCGCCCTCTTTGCCAGGTACCAAGGTGACTCTCTGTTTCTCTCTCAAGTACAACTAATGCATATCTCTCTCCCTTTCTTTGTAGGTTGGAGAAGGATATAAGGTTCAACTACTTTTGGACGCGTTGTGCCAAGCTTGTCTGTGTAAGTACTCTCCTCTTCATGCCATCATGAAACAATCTATGCTGCACATGATGGAGGTTCAGCAAACCCTGTGTCACTGTCTACTTTTCATTATCTCAATGAAATCTCATTAACGGTTGTTTTTTCTTTTTTTTTAACAAAAAAAAAGAAAAAGAAAGAAAACAAAAACAGAAACCAACGAACTAGGTTCAGCAAGAAACAATATCCTGCACTCCAATTTGATTATAAAAAACCGTTACCACCCTCCGAAGAAAGGAAAGAATGAGAGAAGCAATGGGACCCACATTCTCCTGTTCTGGTAAACCATGACCTGCTGATGAAGCAATGGAAGATTGGGAACCCACATTCTCCTGTTCTAGTGGGTCCCACACTCTTTCTCCATCATTTCATCTCACAGTTCTGACCCCAAAAAGGCCATACTTTTTCCATAATCCACTAGACTTCATGTCCTAAACATTTTCTTCATCAGATTCTCAGTAAAATCTTAAATACTCATGTTTTAATGGTCCAGAATACAGACCATGCTGTAATAACGTATCTTTATGTAAATTTCTCTGTTTTTGTCGACAGGTAACCCTCTTTGCGGTCCACTGTGCTGGGTGCTTTTACTATCTCTTGGCTGCAAGGTACTATGACTGGAGGAGGACATGGATTGGGGCTTCTATACCAAACTTCAAGGAGAAGAGCCTTTGGATTCGCTATGTGACCTCTATGTACTGGTCCATCACCACTCTCACCACTGTGGGTTATGGTGATCTGCACCCAGAGAACACGAGAGAGATGGTCTTTGACACCTTTTACATGCTCTTCAACCTTGGCCTTACTGCTTATCTCATTGGCAACATGACCAACCTCGTTGTTCATGGCACCAGTCGAACTAGGAAATTCGTGAGTTCTCTCTGGCTATATCATGTTCTCTTGTGGAGATTGACATGCATCGGTAACTGCCAACATACATGCCAAATTGTTCCATGGAAGAGGAGAGAAAAACCATGTTGGTTTACATTCCTTTCCAAAATGAAGATGATCTAGTCTAGTTCATTTAACCATGAAAAACTATAGCTCATCAGGATCATCACCAGCGGATGAAACGAGGGATGGTGATGGAGAGAGTGGGACCAACCAAGGACAATGTGGGTGCCATTCATTCTCCCATCCGTATATAATTTTGTTGAATGGTCATGAACCCAATGGAATATGATTTTCTGTAATCCACTAGATTCTGTTATACTTGTTCCAATTCAGAAATAGGAGCATGAGTTTTAAATTTCGTACTGCTCTTAGGTTTTATTCCAAATATCCTAAAACCTCATTCCCTTTTTTAGAAGTGATAAAGTTGCCAAACAACCTTTTTCATCTCTCCTTGAGAGGCTCTTTCATGTTTTATGCAATCATATGATTAAAAGAAAAATTATTATGGACAAGAAATAGGAGTGAACATAAGGAAAACTTAAGAAAAATTTAGGAAAGGTTTGTATGCTAATTATACTTATCAAAAATAGGAATTGTCAAAACAGAAATTTTTGTAGAAGTATTCAGTTTATCCAAACAAATTTAAAATTGGAAAAGGTGAGATAAGGCATTGAATAACTATAAAATAGAAATAAATAAAATAAAATTTTCAACGATTATTTTTCATCTAGTCATTGCAGGAGCATCCCATAGCTAGTGTGTGCGTGTAGGGAAATGCTTGTATGTGCCGATGAGCTACTTTCTATAGCATTCGCTCATGGCTCAGAAAGTCCTAAAAATTTAAGGAGATTTCCTTGGCCCTATATGCACTTTCTTGAACCTGTTGAACAATTTCAAAACAAAGAAATAAATAAAAGAAGCTTAGAAAATGTTAAGTAGATAGAAAATCGGCTGAATGCTGGCCATCTATTTCTGATCTCAGCCTTGGAGAACTAAAATAATTGTTTCCTTTGGAATTGTTAATTAGGGGATGTGGGAGACATCTACAAAATTAGGAGTCAGGAATACCCCTCAAAAACCATATTTCTTTCCAAATGTTGATCATTGTATTCTCACTGAAAGTATTTTCTGTTATTTCTATATTTTTTCTTGAGCTGCTTATTTGGTGTGTGAGTGACACTAGCCCAATGAAATACATGTAACTTTCATAACCATATCATGGTGGGTGGGATGTTTCATCAGAGAGACACAGTTCAAGCTGCTTCAAGCTTTGCTCAGAGGAATCAGCTACCTTTGAGATTGGAAGACCAGATGCTCTCTCACCTCTGCCTCAAGTTCAGAACAGAGGGATTACAACAACAGGAGACACTTGAATCTCTTCCTAAAGCCATCAGATCTGGCATCTCCAACTACCTCTTTTATGCCCTTGTCGATAAAGTTTATCTCTTCCAAGGAGTCTCTAATGATTTCCTATTCCAATTGGTAAGCAGTCATTGGAGATAAAACCCGCATGCTTTCTTCTTTCCATTCAATCTCTATGCATTTTGTTTCTCTCAGTTCTGGTATGTTTGTGAGTGTTTATCAAAGGTCTTTATTATTTGTCCTTCGATCTCAATTAGTTCTTTTTGTTCTTGGGTGTTTGAAAATGTTTGTGAAAGGTCTCGGAGATGAAAGCAGAGTATTTTCCTCCTAGAGAAGATGTAATATTGCATAATGAGGCGCCCACAGACTTTTATATATTGGTCACTGGTGCTGTGGTAATTCCTGAACTTCTCAGAATCTTTTCAAATTCGATTCTAATTTAACTCAAATTTAATTCTAATTTACTGCAACTCTTTGCTTCCCTTGTTCTTGAAGAAAAACATAAATGGCATCAGTTTGTCTGATGAGTGGGTCTTTCTTGCAGGATCTGATGGAATACAAGGATGGATCGCTAAGGGTTAGTACTATACCCATTTTGTCTCAAATTGTAGATGATTGCTAAATTCTTCTTGGTGCAAATTCTTGTCCTTTCTAAAATTCTATGTAAATATTGAAAACTTTTTTGTGCGAGGAGCTTCATTCCTGAACAATGATGCAACTAGTGTCCTCCAAATTAATTTTCTTTCGCAGATTATAATAAATTCTAGTGACTGAATAGTGAATAAATAACAATTACAGGTGGTTGGGGAGGCACAAATGGGGGATGTATTTGGTGAGATAGGGGTACTATGTTACAGGCCACAAACGTTCACCGTAAGGACCAAACGGCTGTGTCAGCTGTTGCGTCTCAACCGAACCTCCCTCATGAATATTGTTCAGTCAAATGTTGAAGATGGGACCATAATCATGAGAAATCTTCTTCAGGTTTGTTGCTTTCTTCTTTTTCGGCCACTTTTGATGCCTAGATTCTGATTATAAAAAACATCCAATGCAAATAATACCACACACTTATGTCATTAGTTTACTGCATTTATGCACTGAGAGGTCATATATTTTATGATTGTATGTATAGCATATGAGGGATATGAAGGATCCCTCAACGGAAGATGTCATGATAGAGACTGAAAGTATGCTTGCTAGAGGGAGAACAGACCTTCCTTTTGGAGTTTGTTCTGTAGCAAGTGCAGGAGATGATAAGCTATTGGAACAGCTTCTTCAACAGGGATTAGATGCCAATGAAACTGATCACTGTGGACGCACTGCTCTAGTGAGTAACACTTCATCTTCCCATTCTCCTTTTTTGTTTTTTGAGAAGATGTTTTCTAATGTTTTTAATTTGTTTGTTCTGTAATTTCTTTGATTATATGTGCAAAATAGAAAGATGATAATAGTCTTATGTGCTCCTGATGTCTTTTTTAGATTTGTGCTTTTTGCCACTCTTTCTCTCTCTCTCTCTCTCTCTCTCTATATATATATATATATATATATATATATATATATATAATAATAACTAGTTAGTTAGTCAGACGAGGTACGTAACACTACGTAGTACGTAGTTCTTACGTTACGTACGTACGACTAGTAGTTAAGTAAAGG